TAACAACAACAACAATCTTAGTCTCAAATATTTAAGTTTTCCCATTTGACTGTTTATAGTTCTGGTCTTTGTTGAAATTCCTAATCTGATTGTGCATGTCATTTCCCTTTTCCACTAACTTTGTAATTTTTCCTTTTATCATAGTTATTTAGCATATATCCTTTATTAGACTTTATAAAGGGGCTTCAAAAAATTTGTGGGAAAATTCCATTATCTTTGACTTCCATTTTTCCATGAACTTTTTTGAAGCCTCTTTGTATGTCTGATAGCTTCAACATATGGATCTAGTTCAGTTGCGTATTTTCTTCAACAATAGGTTCTTCCATCCTGTTCCTTTGTATGTCTAATAACTTTTTATTAAATTTTTAACATTTTTCTTAAAAGAATAAAAGAGACTGTTGTTAAATGCCGTCGTATCAGTTCCAACTCTTAGTGACCCAATATAGGATTTTCAAGGAGCAGCTGGTGGTTTGAACTGCTGACCTTGTGGTTTGCAGCCCAGTACTGATCCTACACCACCACACCCAGTGTCCAGTAGCGACTGAGGTACATCATATTTATGCCTATCAGGCTAAGTGGAGTGGGAGTTGATTCACTCTATTCCATAGTTGAACTCAGTTTGGATTATGTTATTGTTGTAGTTAACCTTCAGAGCAGCACGAACATTAAATTCTTACTGCTACTTTGTGCATAAAGGAGCTCTGGTAGTATAGTGGTTACGAATTGGATCAGCAGTTTGAAACTAACAGCCGTTCCACAAGAGAAAGATGAGGCTTTCCACTCTTGTATAGATTTACAGCCTCGGAAACCATATGCAGGGTCACTATGGGTCGGAACCGACTCCACGGCACACCACCACCACCAGTTTGTGTGTAGGAAGATCCCTGGTGGTGCTGTGGGTTAGGCATTGGGCTTCAAACCACAAGGTCAACAGTGCAAACCCACTATTTGCTCTTCAGGAAAAAGATGAAATTATCTGTTCCCATTAGAATTTACAGTCTTGGAAACCCTACATAGACATGGATCTCTAATTTCGTTGTTATTAAGTACTGTCAAGTTGGTTCTGACTTGTATAGGGTTTCCAAGAAATGACTTTGCAGTTAGCAGTCCAGTGTTTATTCCTTAGCACCACACCAGAGTTTAGTTTTCTCCTTTTCTGCCTTTGTAACCCCTTTCTCCAATAATGAGAAGTGTGGTTCATATTCTTGACATGTAGACTGATGTTTATTCGGTCCTTCTGTATAAAACCAACCTCTCATCACTAGTATCTTCCCCTACCACTTGCAAACACCCTCTCACCCCACTTAGGCACTGACACCCTGTGCTGGTGAGCACCCATTCCCATGAGTCCTCCTCACTGTACCGGGGCGCTCCCTCCCCACCACAGACACCCACCCTGTGTGGATGCCTCCTCACCTTGCTCAGCATATGATACCTTCCATCAGGCCACCACTGTTTGAGGACCCTTCTCCAGCCTACTCAGGCTCTGACACCCATTCCAGGCTATCTATGTGTGTGCAGGCTCTTCTTGCTTCACTCAGACTCGGAGCCTCCATGCTTACCTGCATCTCCCACCCAAGTCCTCTTTCCCTCCTCAGGCTCCAGCATACTCTTCTGTTGCTTGGAGCTCATGACTGCTCGGGCTTTGACTCCTTGCTCGAGCTCAGCCTCCACAGATGTCTGCTTCTCTCCAGCGTAGTTCATAACTCCAGAACTGACTAGTTCAACAGGGGAAAGAGAAAAGGGGTAAGAGGAAGCGAAATAAATAAGAAGTCATGTTTATTAGAAAAGACTTGAGTTCCTATATTTACTGTCCCATTGTTTTACTACCCAAAAATCTAAATATTTAAGTATGTGTATTTTTACTTTCTAACAGGTTATGAAGTTCATGGCATGGAAAAAATACCAGAAGAAGGACCAGCACTTATAATTTTTTATCATGGAGCTATTCCCATAGATTTTTACTACTTCATGGCTAAAATTTTTATTCATAAAGGCAGAACTTGCCGAGTAGTAGCTGATCACTTTGTCTTTAAAATTCCAGGTAAACTTTCACTGTGATATAAAAGCATTTCATTAACATGATCATATTATGTGGTAGTCCATATCTGTGAGTGCTCTAGTATCATTTGGGAAAGGTTTTTGCCTTTTTTAGGGTAATGTATGTGGAACCTTTATTTGGAAAGACATGATTATCTTACTTACAATTGCTTTGTTTGAGCCCATTGTTGCAGCCACTTGGTCATTCCTTCTCATTCAGGGTCTTCCTCTTTTTTGTTGATCCTGTACTTTACTAAGCATGGTATTCTCCAGGGACTGGCCCCTCCTGATAACATGTCCAAAGTATGGTATTTCGTAAAGATTAAAGAAACGCTGTGAGGCAGTTCTACGTTGTCCTATAGAGTTGCTATGATTTGGAATCCACTCAAGAGCAATGACTTTGGGTTTGGTACCAAACCAAGTAAATTAAAATCTAATTACAACAAAATTAACCTCCAAATAATACCTCAAGGAAAAATTCATAGCATGAAGAATCAACTACTTTCTATGCCAAAGTATAATTTGTTTAATAAAAGTTGTGGTTTATTTTTTAAATGTTAGAGTTCAAAATTTAACTTGAAAAAACTGACTAAATGCCAGCTAACAAATAATTAAATAACCTTTTGGCCATAATGTTTTTATATTTAGATTTAGAACCTAAGTAAGAAAATCATGCCAGCCAATCAACCTAATAAACAAAAAACAAGCAGGAACTTACACAGTGGTATACTTCAGTGCCTTTCAAATTTGGTTAATGAATTGGGTATTTGTGTTACTAAAAGGCCATTCCTACTTTGTATATAAACTAATAGGCTGTAACGTTTTCCTATAAAAAATAATCACATTGTTAAACAATTTGCAAACTTGAGAAGGTAAATTGTTATAATTTCACCATTGTAATGTGCCCAGGTATTTTGACTTACAATTTTTCATTTGCATATTCTCATATTATGCAAAACATTTTAAATTTAATGCATTAAATATTTTACCATGTTCTATAAGGAACATGAAGTCCTGGTGTGATGCTGGAGGATAAGCATTGGGCTGCTAACCCCAAGTCAGCATTTCAAACCCACCAGCTGCTCCTTGGAAATCCTGTGCAGGCTCTCTGTGAGTCAGAACTGATTCAGGGCACTGACAACAACAACAATAATAACAATCAGTAACAATTTGAATGAATGGCTAAAATTTTTACTTAACTAGTTTTCTCTTATGGAACATTAGGTTGTTTTCATTTTTTTCTATAAATTAAAGGATGTGAGTATCTTTCCCAATTTTTTTCCTCTTTATGATTCATTTAATATTTTAGTATCACTTTACCTTAAGTTCTTCATGACTTTATGAATACTGTTTCAAGTAGGCACAGATATTTAGACATATGAGAAGTTTGGTTAGTCTGTACAATTTTCATCATGCAGTCCCACATTCCTTTATGGGATATAGGTAATGGTACATACTAAAAGTACAATTAGTCTTACAAAGTTCTAGTTTAGAATTTGACTCAAATATTTAACTACTCATAGGAATGTTTCTCTCATCCATAAATAGTTGTAATTTAAAAAACTAATAGGACCTGTGACTAGCTGTTTCTGAGTGGGAGACCCTCGCTTTAACAAAAACTCTTAATGACATATGCTGTTATTATTACTTTTTAACTACATGGTATAGTTTGCATCATCTAACTTTTAATAGGTATGGTGAAGTCTTGCCAGTCCTGATAGTATCAAGCATAGTCAGATTCGTATTCTTTTGAGTGGTTTTCCTACTTGTAGGGCTAATAGAAGATTAAATTTGTGACTGCTGACTGGATATCATGATTGCTCTAATAAACATTTTAGACATTGTTTAACCATGAGACTCAATGAGAATTTGGGGCTAGGTACCTGGACTACAATCTCTACTCTCCCAGTTACAGGTATGTGACTTTGAGCAAGCTGTGGAGTATTGGTGAGGTGCTGTAGTATAAGCACTTGACCACAAGGTTGGTTTGAGCCTCAGGGTCAGTGGTTTAAACTCACCAACTGCTCCTTGAAAACCCTTTACAAGGTCGCTATGAGTCAGAACTGACTCAATAGCACTTAACAAGAACAACAATAACATACCACTGTAAACCCAAGTTACCTCATCTGTAAAATGGCGTAAGAATACTTATTTTCCAAGATTGTTGTAAGAATTAGAATCTGTATATATGAAGGACCCAGAATAGTTGGTAAGGAGGTGAGCAGTAAGAAATGGCTGTCACTTCACTAAGAAACCCTGGTCACCAGACTTGGCTGCAAACTATAGGGTCAGTGGTTCAAATTCACCAGCTAGTCATTGGGAGAAAGATGTTGGGAGTCTGTTTCCATAAAGATAATAGCCTTGGGTACCGTCTGGGGCAGTTCTACTCTGTCCCCTGGGGCACTGTGAGTCTGAATTGACTCATTGCCTGTGGGCTTGGGGTTTATTACTTCACTTGCAGTATCAATCTAGGCTAGCCTTAGGAGTTGATTTTTTTTAAAGTTTACTGATTTAAGTATAGCTAGTATAGATTGTGACATTTTGCTTTTGAAGAATTGAACAGAAGTACTAAAGGTCTGTCTTCATGCTAATGTTTTACAGGGTTTAGTTTATTACTTGATGTATTTTGTGCTCTACACGGACCAAGAGAAAAATGTGTTGAAATTCTGAGGAGTGGTCATTTGTTAGCTATTTCACCAGGTGGGGTTCGAGAAGCCCTAATTAGTGATGAAACCTACAACATTATATGGGGTAATCGTAAAGGCTTCGCTCAGGTCGCAATTGATGCAAAAGTGGTGAGTTGTGTAAGTTTCATTATTGAAGTATAGTTGAAAATAAAATAAATGCTTAAGTAGTGAACAAATTGTATGCATATTTAAGTATTTTGAATGTAATACTTTAAAAAATAGCGTATATGATTCTTTATGAAGAAAGAAATACTTTAAAGAATAGAGAAATACTCCTAGTACATAGGAAGCCATCTTAAAAGGAAATTTAGGAGAGTTTTAGCAACTCTTACATTTCAAAAGGGGCTTTTTTTCCATTAGATTGATAAAATTCTTTGTATTCCTTAAGTTATAATATATATATAAAATTTTAAACATAGCAGTCAAATTATATTTTAACTCTTTGATATAATTGAATTGGGCTCATTTTGGTGACTTATTGATTGGTTCACCTATAATTTTTAAATCTGACTAATCTATGTACTGCTAGGACTCATGTCTTGTTTTTTATCAGCAAATATGATCACTTAGGTAAAATTTTCAGTAAAATTATAATTAGTCTACTTAGTAGACTGGACAATGAGAATGCCGTTTTGTTAGTTTATTCTGCCTTTTTATTTTCCACATTTATCCTCTGAAACATATGTTATTTATGGAATATTTCTTTGTTTTCTGTTTTGCTTATTTGTCAGAAAAAGAAATCTAGTACCTTTGACAGGGTGGTGGTGTTTTTTCCAGGCCAATTAGTTAAAAATTGCTGTCAGTTACCTGTAGTTTTGGTTTTTTTTACCCATTGCTGCCACATAGAGACCAGTCTGCACCCTTAACTTTTCTGTCCATCTTGCAAATATCAGAAGGAATATATTATGACTTACTCATTCTAACCCAAGATCATTATTTGAAGAAGAATGGAAATGTCCTCTTTATTATTTAATTACAAAGTTATAATAAAATGCATGGAGCGCGAATGTCGCCTGTACGTGTGTATGTGTAATGCCTAGAAGTAAGTTATTGCAGTAGTGCTTTAGTAATGTGGTTCCACTAGAAGAGTTAATGTACTTGCCCAAGTGCTTAATAGTAAACAGTGCAAGGATTGGTATTAATGTCCTGTCACTATAGGGCATTTTTGCCTTACAGTAGAGTAAACTCTCTGAGGACAGTGTCATCCTACTGTAGTCTCAGTTCTAGTACAGGCCCAGCGCTTAGTAGGCTCTTAAGTATTTGTTGAATTAGAATTATGAAATTGAGTTTTTTTGATGCAAAATCACTAGAGGAAAGGAGTGTTTTGAATTTAATTTTATATTGTATTAGTCATAAGTTTTGTTTATAGTATATATATTTTCCAAAAAGTCACAGTCATTGTGTAGAAAACAAAAACTTAGACTATATGAATAATGTGGACTACGAAAGTATATAGGCATGGCTATTCACAATAGCCTTGTGTGGCACTGTAGGATAAGCAAGGTCGGCAGTTCAAACTCACCAGTTGCTCCTCGAAAATCCTATACAGGGCGGTATGAGTCAGAACTGACTCGACATCACTTAACAGCATACAAAAAATGAAAGTCTACCCTTTGCAGATGTAAATTATTATATATGCCTAAGTGGTTTTTTTGTTTGTGTGTTTTTTAAAAAGCTAAAGTAGATAGAGAGAAATACTGTTAACTGATGATGGTACATGGAGGGGATTATAATCATTGTAATGAAACAAGGTGTATGATTTGTTGAGTGTAAAACTGATGATATGCCTTGTAAACTTTTACTCAATCCACAATAAAAATCTTAAATAAATAAATAAATAAAAAGATGAGTCTCTGTCATGGATAGTAAGACACTGATAAAAGCCAGAAACTGAATCCAAGTTTAATTTTAAAGCTTATATTTTGAAAAACTTATTTTTCTTAAGGTTTAAGATAAAATGACAAAAATAGATTTGAAATAATATAATTCCTTATCCTTAAGTTTGTAGCTCTAAGGGACGTACTGCTTGGAAGAAGGCCTAAAAGAAATGATCTAGAGAAAGCGACTGCTTTCCCAACCCTTTAAAGAGTTTCTAGGTAATTGTGATAACCTAGGTTTTATACAAAACTTCAGAAGATTTATACAAGTTTAAAAAGAAACAAACATCTTTAACATTGATAATTTACAAAATGGCCTTATCAGTTTGATGAAATTTTGTATCATGTTTACGGTACAGAAAGTAGATGACCTAGGTTATGGTTCCAGTATTGCAGAGGGAGTTCAGGTAGAGACACATGAAGGACTGCAAGAGTTATGGTCATAAGCAGGGCACAAGCCGAGCAGAGCACACAGTTCAGGAATTCAGGTCATTGTCTCTCTTGCTGTTCAACTGCATTTCACACTGAGCCTGCTGACACACAGATATTTGAGGGAAGTCTTTCAGTTATATTTGGTGTTACTGCTGTTTATTATTAAGTACTCTTCATTTAGTTCTGACTCAGAGCAACCCTGTGTAAAGTTTCTGAGGCTTTTAAGTATTTGTGGGAGCAGAAAGCCTCATCTTTTTTTCACAGAGTGACTGGTAGGTTTGAACTGCCGACCCACTGAACAGCAATGAAACACTGCTTGGTCCTGCACCATCCTTACAATTGTTGCTGCCACTGTGCCATTCCATCTTGTAGGAGATCATTTTTCACTGACCATACCACATTAATATGTTGTTGTTAAGTGTCCTCGAGTCAAATCTGACTCACAGTGACCCTGTACAGGGTTTCCGAGGAACAGCTGGTGGGTTTGAACCACAACCTTTGGTTCACAGTTCTGTGCTTATTCTACAGCACCATACCAGGAGTGCTGAAGAGTGAAGATGTCAGTTTGCGGACTAAAGTGTGCCTGACCCAAGCTGTGATATTTTCAGTAACATCAAATGCATGCAAAAGTTGGACAGTGAATAAGGAAGACCGTAGAAAAATTGATGTATTTGAGTTATGGTGCTAGTGGAAAATATTAAAAGTAACCTAGACTGTCAAAATATCAAATAGATCTGCGTTGGAAGCAGTACAGCCAGATTGTTCCTTGGAAGCCAAAATGTCCAAACTTCGTCTCTCATACTTAGGACATATTATCAGGAGGGGCCAGTCACTCGAGAAGAATATCACATTTGGCAAAATGGAGGGTTGGAGAAAAAGAGGAAGACCCCCAGTGAGATGGATTGACACAGTGGTGGCAGCGATGAGCTCAGGCATAGCAATGATTGTGAGGTTGGCCTAGGACCAGGCAGTGTTTCATTCTGTTGTGCATAGGTTTGCTATGAGTCGGTACCAACCAATGGCACTTAATAACAATGACATACCAAACTGAAATTGTGACATAGTATAGAAATTAAAGGGGAAATCCAGATTGTTGTAAATGCAATTTCACAAAATATTGGTAGAAAATAATTACTGTCCATTGGAAAAGTGGCAGACTTTGATATAAATGTAAATCTTCTTTATTAATTGCTGATAATTATTACTTTGATGAGGAATTTTAGGTAGCCATAAATGTAGGCAAGTTGAAAGAAAATTAGTTCAGCATAATGTCTTCTAGCTATATCCATATTGTATCAAAACTTGTATTCATTATATATATGCACCACAATTTGTTTATCCATTCATCTGTTGATGGGCATTTAGGTTGCTTCCACTTTTTGGCTGTTGTGAGTAGTGCTGCAGTGAACATTGGTATACAAGTTTCTGTTTGAGTTAAATCTCTTTAGTATAGATTTAGGAGTAGAATTGTTGGGTTATGTGAGAGTTCTGGATGCCTGGTGTGGTGCTGTGAGTAATGCGCTGGACTGCAGTCACTTTGAAACGCAAGGTCAGTGGTTCAGGTGCATCAGCCACTCCTTGGAAACCCTATACTGTGAGTCGGAACTGAGTTGACGGGGCTTAATAACAATGATAGTTCCCTTTTTTAGTATTTTGTGTAGCTCTCACACTTCCACAGTGGCTGTACCCGTTTGCATTTCCCCCAGCAATGGGTTAGGGTACCAGTTTCCTCACAGTATTTGTTGTTGGTTTTCTGTTTTTTTAATCTTAGCTATCCTAATGGTATGGCATTGTGGTTTTCATGTGCATCTCTCTGATGATAGCTAATGACACTGACCATCTTTTTAAGTGTTTGGTAGCCTTTTAAATGTCCTTTTTAGTGAAATATCTATTCAGGTACTTTGCCCATTCTATGATTGGGTTATTTATCTTTTTGTTTTTAAATTGTTTTTTATGAGGACTCATTTATTTATTGTCTTTTGATGTTTGTGCTTTTATTATTATATGTTGTTGTTAAGGGCTGTCCAATCAGTTCCAACCCACAGCGACCCTGTTCAGGGTTTCCGAGGAGCTCCTGTTGAGCTTGAACTGCCCACCTTGCTGTTCAAATGGACCTTGCAGTCCAGTGTATTAACCCACAGTGCCATACCAGGACTCCTTGTGATTGTATAATCCTTTGTTAAACGCTAGGCTCAATAACGTTGCCCCCGGTTTTAGTTTGCACAGTTAGGTCTTTAATCCATTTTGAATCCTTTGTTTGCGTGGTATGAGGCATGGATTCTTCATTTTTCTGCATATGGAAATCCATTTTCCCCAGCACTGCTTATTGAGGAGGCTCTTCATTCCTCATGTAATGGATTTAACAGCTTTTGTCAAAATCAATTGACCAGAGATGTGTGGATTGACTTCTGGACATGAAGTTCTATTCCATTGGCCTTTGTTTCTATTGTTATATTAGTACTAGGCAGTTTTGATTTCTATAACTGTATTATTGTTACTGTTAGGTACCCTCAGGTTGGTTCTAACTTATATTAACCTTATGTACAGCATACTGGATGGAACCTTACCTGGTCCTTAAAAAGATACTTTGCAGCAGATATTCCCAGTTTGGTGTCTTGGCTGATGCTTTCTTGGATGTTGATTGTGGATCCAATTAAAATGAAAACATTGGCACCTTCAATTTTTCTCCATTTATTATGATTTTGTGTATTGGCCCAGTTGTGAGGAT